TACACAGTAAGTCCCTGACTTACAAACATTTGAGTTTTGGACTTTCACAGGTATACTGTGTAAGACTCACTACAGCTTACAAACAAATCTGACTTACGAACAGTTCTCCCGGAATGGAACTTGTTTGTGAGTCTGGACTTACTGTACTCTGAAAACAGTGACCTCTGCCAGGTTATCCCGTATATAAAGTTCCAGCAAGAATCATCTGCGCTTCTTTATTTACTACCTTAGACCTGTTCCCTAATGGTTTCTCAGGATCAAGCCTTTATAGCTACTTTTTTTTTTTTTGCAGTCCAGAGTTGAAACCACAGCTTTACACATGTTAAGCAAGTGCTCTGTCACTCAGCTATATCCCTGGCCCTTTTTACATTTTTAGTTTGAGATAAGGTCTCCCTGTGTTGCCCAGGCTGGTCTTGAACTTGTAATCCTCCTGTCTCAGCCTCCCCTGATAGCTGGTATCACAGGTGTGTGCAGCTGCTCCCAGCTGTATCTGCTTTTGAGATATTCTCATCTTCTTAGCTACAGGACTTCCCAACCCTGCAATAAACACAAAGAACATAAGGATGAGCATGAGTTAAGAGATTAGGCAGTAGACTTTGCGGAAATGGAAAGGGGATCTGGAGACAGAGGAGATGGGAGAGGGGAGGGGACAGAGAAGTAAAGATAATTAAGATTCCATGTGTATGTGTACCAATTCCTGGGATAACTGTAATTATTATGTATCACAAACATATACTAATAAAAATTACTCAGCTTAGAGGATGTCAAAGATGGTTTAGGAAAGATGGATAGAAAAACGCTATCTTCCAAAAGGCATTAAAATATCTTATATATCTACGTATATGCGTATATCATTATATACACATATGTAAAATTATACACAATTAGTCTATATGATGGTTATATAAAACTATGTATATATAATTAGTCATATCTATGAAGTGTCTGTGTGGGAGAGAGGGTGTGTGTGCCTGTCTTTCTGTCTGTATGCACCATCTCTCTTAGCCTTAGCTGTTTTACCTGCATCCCTGTGTAAATGATACTGAGCTTGAAAAGATTTTGTTTGGAGAGTTACTCTAGCAAGGCCATGTCCCGCCAAAACACTGCAGATTTGATTGAGGTGCGGGCAGCGTGGGCTTCTCTTGTGAAAGGCGTGAGCAAGGAGCCAAAGAGAGTGGAGGCATAGTCCTCTTGGTCCTCTAAGTTTCTGGCATAAACCCGGTCCCAGGCAGTACTTTTCATGAAGAAATGAGAGATGAGAAGCAAGAGGTGGTGCCCTTTCTGAGGCCCGGTAACGGCAGAGCCTTTGGCACAGGCCATTTTGCTCTAGGCCTGGGACTGTTCCCCTAGTTGACTTCTGTGCTTTTCCTCTTTTGCTTTCCCTGTTGGCCCCTGGCGCAGGGCAGAGTGGAGAGATCTGCTTCACTGGATGATCTTGGCCCAAGTGGGGAGGAAGCCGGGCCCATGGCTTGGTCTGAGAAGCATGCTCTGCCTGGCAGCAGCCCGAGTGTGGCACCCCCTGGGTCCATCTCCTGGGACAGCACCATGCTCTGGAGATGAAGTTGTGCCTTTGCAAAGCTGGGAGTGGTCACCCGGCTGAGGAGGAAGGGCTCTCTTAGGATGGGGCTTAGGAAACCCTTAAGAGATGAGAAACACATTTGGGGCAAAAAAGAGAAATCCCTAAATGTCATAAAAGCAGAGGCAGGGCCAATGAAAATGACTAAGAGTAGTGTTATACTCACAGGTCATGAAGTCCTGGCATACAGGTTCTCAGAAGGGTAGGAACCGTGTGGTCTTTAGCAGGGGAACAAATGAAGGCTGCAGGGGAGCAACGCAGGCTCCCAGCCACACGGCCTGGACATGGTGAGGGCTGCCAGCCAAGATCAGCAGCTTTGCATCTTATAATCTGTGACCATACAAGAAGGGGTGTAAGCAGGGCTTCATCGAATGGAACTTCAGTCAGTCTCTACCTCCAGGCCTGGCAGAGCACAGGGCAAACAGAGGAAGGAGTATGGAGGAAGAAGAACGGCAAGAACAAAGAACAAGAAGATAGAATGCTCAGTGACTGCTAGTCTAAGCTAAGTGGATGGGTCTCTCCTTTGTGGCTTTCCCAGCTACTTGTGTCTCCCAAATATACCAAGTGTGGCTGTTCATTTGGAGCCTGCTGCCTGCTAGAGAAAGTGAGTTCCCTGAGGACAGGGGTGGCCTTGTTTATCAGTGTCTCCAGGGCCTTCCTGAGAGGGCACTCAGCAGAGGGAAGATAGTGCTGAGGGCTTAGTCTCTGAAACAGGTAGTGAACCCAGTGTTTTTCATGAGGAAGATATGGCGATTCCCATTTACAGGTGAGGGAGCGAGGTGCGAAGAGGGGATGTGGGGAGCTTTGAGAGGCAGGGGAGTTTCTGATGGTGAGAAACCTCGGGCATCTGATGATTCTGGAAGCCTTGCCCGACTCCCGATGGCACCGTCTGCCAGGCTCTGAACCCAGAGCGAGGTCTCATTAGCATTCGGAGGGGGAAGTAACCGTGGGGGACGCATCCAGAGCATTAGGAGAAGACAGGCTGTGTTTTAATTAGGACCTGGACTTCCGAACAAATCCTTTTCTCTGCTTGTCTGAGCCTTAGAGAAAACAACTTGTGGGAGGTGCGCAGTCGGCAGCTGGGTCCACCGTGGTACCAGTGCATCTGTGTACACATCTGGCACACAGGTGGTGGGCGCATGTGCCTTTTCTCCTTGAATTGCTCTGGGTTGAGAGAGAGTTACAGAGGTGAGGGTGACCTGGTTTGGACCCAGAGGGGGAGAGCTGATGGCGAGGAGCGGGAGTGCCCATCCTTGGCCTGGGATCCCCAGTGACCATGACCACTTCACGATTTGAGCCCAGACAACTCCCGCCACTTCCTCCAGTCAACATGGCAGGCTTTCATTGTTGACTCACTCCAACCCTCCCTTCTCCAATTTCGGGAAAATTTTTGGAGTAGGCAACAAAAAGAAAAGGGGAAGAGAAAGAGGAGATTAAGGGGGTAGAAGTTAGACAAGCACAGATGCTACCACCTGCTGTTGCAGATTCTCAAGTGCTTGTTGACTCCCTGGGAGTTTGCCTTGAGTCTGTTTAACAGTCAGTTCCTGGGGAAGGGGAGGAGAAGCAGGACGTGGGGACAAAGGGCCTTTGACTGGCTCCTGGAAAGGCGCTGATTAGTTTGCTCAGGTTGGCAAACAGTGACTGGGGACTTGGGGCCCAAAGATGAACTGGGTAGATTTTCTACCTAATGTGTGGTATCCAGCAACACAGGAGGGAGGGAGTAGGGAGTAAAGGCAAACACTTCAGGGACTGGTGTGAGCTTCCAACAGAGACTGGAAAAACTATCCTGGGCACCTGGAGGAAGGGAGAGGACAGAAGGGCCTCTGGTACCTGGAGTTCTGGTTTAGGGTCTAGCGTGCTTTGTTAGTGGTGAAAGAGCCCTACCAGCTCTCTGGACTCTCCCCCAACTTCACCCTCCTTCCTGAGGTTGAGAGGCAGAATATCAACATAGGTGTTTCTGAGGTGTTCCCCACGGCCAAGGCCAGGAAGGATGGGTGTGGTGGCCCAAGGCTTGTGTGAAAAGCAAGAGAGCACAGGCACTTCCAATCCTGCAGCTTGACCCCTGTCCCAGGAGACTGCTTCCTAGTGGATTCATGGCAGGTGACTTCATTCCCTTCTCCAAGCCTTGGCTCCCATTGCTCAGTGTTTGAATGGCTTCCCTTTTTCTTGTGCCAATCTGTGTGTCATGCATCCTTGGGAATTTCTCCTTAGCTTCCTCTTTACTCCACCCCAAAAACTCTTCCCTTCTTCCAGGAGGCTTCCAAGATAAATACACTGTATGCCAATAGTAGCTTAAAGCTATAAACTAGTACAATTTTATGGTTGGGAAATTACTGAATATTATAATTTTTTTCATATACGCTATAGCTTTATATCATTCTATTTTGTATCATGGGATGCTGCTTTGTACTGATCTTATATTCTGTTTCCTAATGACAAATCCCTAAGGGTAGATATTATTTATCTACTAAAGAATTTATTTTTTGTTTACTCTTTCTTTCACAGATATGTGAGCTTTATGGGATGGGGGATTTGTCTTGTATCCACCTAAGCCTACAACAATGCCTGACACACAACAGACATTCTATAGACACTCGTGTCTGTAGAGAATGCTGTCGGGTGCTGCTTTCCTTTCCTCCCTACCCTGTTAAAACACAGAGTTTACTGTGTGCTGCAGGGTGCATGGTGAATGCTTGTGAATAAATGAAAGGATGAAAAAGCAGAAGACAAAACGATTAAGTGAATGTGTGAATAAGCTTTTGAGATGGGATCGGCCACACTGAAGCCGCCATGGTCGTAGGTCTGTCTGTAGGAAAACGCTCTTCAGTTATTCATGTTTCCTTAACTCCTGAGGTAGAGCTTATTAGCAGAGCAGGCTGGCATCAGCTCCCTGCAGATACCCTGAGTCGGCTCTGGTCTGTCTTTGTGAAGAAGGAAGTGGTGTGGACTTTTATGTGCTCACCCTGGATATTCTGTCCCACTTCGCCATTCTCTCCCTGACACCATCTGACCTTTCCACACCTATCAACTCCAGTACAGCGGGACAAACACAGAGAATGTTTTCCACAGAGCCCCTCTTTCCCCATTGTGCTACTACTTTAGAAAGCAAAACAACTCTTTATTTTGGTTAGGATATATTACTTAGCGCGTATGCCAAATCTTTGACAAATGCAATTATGGTATCATCAGACAAGATGAAAAAAGATTAAAAAAAAACTTTAGGTCTTTCTTAGGCCACCCTGGATTGTTATAGATCTGGAGTGACCAGGAAGAGTCTGGATTACCTGGTGTCAAGTATATTCCAGTCCAAGCTTCCTTGAACCAGGTCTTCGAAGTCTTTTTGCTGTTGACCCAACGGGAGCCCTGGGCCCGAACCAGGTCTTTCTTACAGTGTCTGTCCTCTCTCCCTCTCTCCTGCTGCCAGGTTATTTGCTGTCAAATGTGGGGGCTGCTTTGAGGCCATCGCACCCAATGAGTTTGTGATGCGAGCCCAGAAGAGCGTGTACCACCTGAGCTGCTTCTGCTGCTGTGTCTGTGAGCGGCAGCTTCAGAAGGGCGATGAGTTTGTCCTGAAGGAGGGGCAGCTGCTCTGCAAAGGGGACTATGAGAAGGAGCGGGAACTGCTCAGCCTGGTGAGCCCAGCGGCCTCAGACTCAGGTGAGTGTGGTGCAGTGGGCAGGGGTCGCAGTGGGCTGCCAGAACAGAGTGAGGTGGCCGTCTGGGTTGCTTCCTTCCTAGAGAGCCAGCTGTCTGGGCAGCCTATCTCCATGGCAAGGCAGTTCTGTATATTTCAGTAACTTTCCTTCTAATCTCTGAGTCATTGTTTACCAATCAGCTACTGCCAAGATGATGCTGTGTAACAAATTTCCCCTACATTCAACGGCATAAAACCATGATCACTTATTCACATATCCATTGTCTCCAGGTTCAGTGAAGTGACTCTGCTTCAGGCTGAAGTTCTTCAAGTTAGCTAGGATCTGCTGATTTCAGCTGAGCTTAGCTCCAGGCTTGGATGAGTTTCAGGTCCACTCTTCGATTTATTCTGTGTTCCAGGTTAGAAGAGCAGCACCTTCAGGACATGATCTCCTAGTAATGGTCAAAGTGCAAGAAGGCATGCCCAGCCACACAAGCACATTTCCAGCCTCCGCTCACACCGTGTCTGTCAGTGTCCCATTAGCCAAACCAGATTACAAGGTCAAACTTGAAATCATGTGGTGGAGAAATGTACTCTGTGCAGCACAAAGCCTTGCTGGGATCACGAATATTACCATGTATAACATGCAGTATGGGGTAGTATTAAAGGGAATCATGAATCGGAGCCATTCATGATGAATTCAGTGACAACCACTGAACTTTTCTCAGTCTTTATTTCCTCATCTGTCAAGTGAGACAGCTGGACTTTAAGGCTTGATGGGTCACACAAGGAAAGGAACCAGAATGTATGTGTTCTTCCTCTTCCTCACCTACCCGTCCCCCACCCACAATGCCTGCAGCAGAGGAGAAAGAGAGACTATAGGAGAATGGAGAGGTTTTCAGAGCAGGTGTTATGGGGCCAGAGAATTGAAACTGAAAATTTTCAGTTGAAATTGAAACTCTCCAAATTAAGCACAGAGTGCCTTTTCAGGGTGTTTGAACTCTTGGGGGTAGTTTGTCTTCCCTCAAGACTCTGTGAGCTTCAGCTGGGTATGATGGTGCATGCCTGTAATCCCAGCACTCTGGGAGGCTGAGTCATAATGATTGAAGTTGGAGCCCAGCCTGGGAAACTCAGCAACTTAGCAAGGCCCTGTCTTAAAAGAAAAATATAAAAGGCTGTGGATGTAGCTCAGGGCAAAGGCCCTTGATTCAATCCCCAGTACCAGCGAAAAAAGAAAGAATCCATAAGGTGATACTATTTGCTAATTCTTGCCATTGCAATTCCAGCCCAGTCCCAACCCCAGCACACTGACCAGGAGTTCTGTAAACTCCCTCTTCTCATCTTTCCAGCTTCCCTGGGAACCTCCGCCCCTCCTGCTTCGTATCCAGCTTTGCATCTGTCAGAGGGTCTCACTCCCTACTCAGGTGTGAGGGTCTGTTCCTTCTCTGTCTCACTGTCACACTCCTTTGTCTTGCTAGCATATCCTTTACACTTCCATCCAGGGTCTGCTTCACAAGGAAAACTCTTAGTCCCCATAATGGGGGACTTTACCCTCCATATCTACTGCCTAATTTCTACTATTTCAAAGTAGCTGATGGTCATTCTTGCCGCAGCCCTAAGCTCCCTGAGGGAGAGCGAGTGTGTCATTTGCCACTGTATCCCCAGGGACCTATATCCCACAGGTCTGGACACTGAGCATCAACTCTGTTAAAGAACAAATAAACTGAAAAGTAAAAGCACCATGGCCTGGTGCTTAAGTGCCCGACCTTTGGAGACAGGCAGGAGGGGTGCCTTATTCTGGCTGCCCCACTTACATGTGTGACTTTGGGAGAGTCTTTGAGCCTCTGTAAGCCTCCATTTCCACAACTATCAAATAGTGACCATCACACCTGTTTTGGGAAACAAACAAGACGGTGCACACAGAAGCCCAGTGCTGAGTCAGTGCTGGTGCTGGGCCTCTGTTGGATGATGGCTTCTTTTATCGCCTCTGGTTCTTCTTTCCCATTCTTGCCTGCAGCCTTAAGTGAACAGATACCTGGGCAACTTCTTTGGTCCCTGGTGGTCTCAAGAGTTCCTGGTTTTGTTTCAGTCTGAGGGAAATTCTTCTTGCCTGGAAACCTGGAGGATCTGCCTGGGAAATTAGGCCCATTCTACACTGATCTTAATATTTGTTTCTTGGTATAATGCCAACTCACCCTTAGGCAGCATCTCAGTCTTCCTTCAGGTGTTCTGCTGTGCCTGCCCATGAGACCTTCGTACTTTCTTGTTGTTTGAATAAAATACCTGACACCTACAACTTAAAGAAGGAGAAATTTGTTTGGCCTACAGTTTCCCGTGGGGTCAGTCCCTAGTTGGATAGCTCTAAGACAGAAATGGCTTGGTGGAAGGGCTTAGAAGAGGAGAGCTTCTTACCTCATGGCAGCCAGGAAGCAGAGAGAGAGGAAAGGAGGTGGGAACAAGAATACATTCTTTCAGATCACACCCCAAGTGACCTGACCCCTCCACCCAGGCCCCATCTCTGAGCATATGAGACTTGAGGGGACAGTTTTAGATCTAAACCCTAAAAGCCTCTTCCCATATAGTGCAGAATCTTCCAGTTCCAAAGGAGCTTTGGTGCCATGATGGCCAGAATACCAGCATGACCTTAGAAAGACTTGCACACCCAGAGGGACCTACTTTCTCCTTCATGTGAAAATAAGCACTGTGGTGTCACCATTCTTTATAAGTGACTTGTAGGGCTTGATCCCTAAGTTATTTAACTGGTCATGCTTTTAAGGTTTACAATATTTTATTTGAACTCAAAGTAAGGCATTGCATTGTTACTGCCCCCTCCCTCAAATAACAAAAAGCAAAAGCTGGATTTAAGCAGCCATCACAAATAGCATTATGATATCCAGACCAAAGGGGGAGCAACAGGTATTGCCTGATCACATTTTTAGCAACATGTTCAGTTCTGAGCTTTTCTCTTTGAGACTGATATGGACAAACCAGAGCTTTCCAGGCCACTCATTTGTGTATCGTTCAGTAATCACATCTCGAGTGAATGTTTGTTATATGACAATGATTTAAGGGTGGGGAGATCTCAAAACCATGTCTACTGGAGGAATTATAGATGTGTAGCCTAAAAAATGAAAATTAAATGAAGACATAATCGCCTTCAAATGATCAAATCAGACCACTTTTTATTCTGATTTTAGAGAGACAATGAGAATTTATTCATTCATTTAACAAAGTGGTTGAGTATTTGCACTAAAAAGGTATAAAGGAAGCAATTTTCAACTAGGCACAGGGAATGTTGGACTTTCACTCTAATAACTGGATCCAACAAAGACTAAAATTACCAAGAAATACACCTTACACATGTTGACACTGATTTTGTGTGGTGTGAGGGAGGAAATCCTAGGAGACCCTTGTCTCTAGAAACCTATAATTGTTTTCCGAGCTTTAAAGTGATATTGTCAACCACTCATTTTGGGAATTATATAAATGGTGCCTGTCATAGAAGGTTTTGGTATGTCCAAGCTTGCCTCGCTAATGAGAGGACAGGCTTTTAGAGAACAGGTTTGTAACTTTTAATTTCTTTGTTTCTTTAGTAAAGCTTAGCATGACCAGGAGAACAATAAGTGATCAGTAAATATCTAATGAGTTTAGCTAAATATTTTTAAAAGACAGCCACCTTATGTAAGGGCTGCATAGAAAGCGGTTTTAAAATTTGTCCCCGTACAAATACAGTTCTTCCTCTTGTTTCTGTCCTGGATGACTTACATATTGTAGGTACTTGATAAATATTTGTTAAGTGAATGACTGTCTTGTCATCTTTAACATTTTTTTTTTTTTTTGGTACCGGGTATCAAACTCGGGTCCTTGCACTTGCAAGGCAGGCAGCGGAACCACTGAGCTAAATCCCCGGCCATCTTTAACATTTTTATCAATGACTTGGATGAAGATGCCATTTGCAGATGACACAATCCTGGCAGGGAGTGGTGGAGTGGCAGCTGATACACTCCATGTTCTGAATGATTTTGACAAGCTAGCAGAGAAGCACAAAGCTGGGGAGATGAAATCTCACCCTCAGGTTCCAAAATCCTACTGAAATTGTGTGAAATGTGGCCTTTTTTGATAGAATGCCATGTGGGGTTATAGTTGATGATACAGCCAATAGGATCCAAAAGACTTAAGCTGTATTACTAGAACTATAGTCTCCCTAACGTATAATTATAGTCCCTTTTTTTCGCATTGGTCAGAGAACATTTAGAATATATGAGCTCATTTTAAATGATGTCCTTCAGGAAGTCAGTGACTAGGAAGATTCTTGCGGAGAGTAATTAACTCCTTGTTAAATAAATGATAAATAGCTGAAGAAACAAAACATTTAGCTTTGTGAAAATAACTCTAGTGGGTTTCGTGAGAGTCATACCCAAGGTGGCACACCTGGTACTGAGGGTGAAATGACAGATTTTGGTTCAGTATAAAGTAGATCCATGTCTGACACTGGTACCCACTGGACTGCCTTCATGGGGAGTGAACTTGCTTATCCTTTAACATTGTAATTACAGTTGGTGGGAAATTGGATCGATGACTACTAGGTCTACTTCCATCTAGGATACCAGAACCTGTAATTTTATGATGCCAGCTTATCTAACACAAAAGCACATGACAGGCTCACAGCTATGCAGGACACCAAAGTCAAAAATTCTTCACCTGGTGGATGGTCGATTTTTAAAAAAGTTATTTATTTATTTATGTATTTATGTGTTTATTTTTTGGATGATCTTTTTTGATATGGCCCAGTCTCTTCTGTCCTGGCCTCCGCTCTGCCAGTAGCCTTGAAGCAGCCTCCCAAGCAAATGGATGAGTTTTGTAGCCAGAGACACAATTTTCATTGGCTTATTGGGCAGTTTGGATGCCTAGGGTTTCTAGAAGAGATCTTGTGACATTCAGGCCTGAGATCTCCTTCACCAGAGAAGGTGATCTTGCAGTGGCTAAGCGCTTTGAAGGTGATCCGGTTCAGACTTCACCAGAT